GTGTGTGTGTGTGTGTGTGTGTGTGTGTGTGTGTGTGTGCACAGATGTGTGTGGACACTCATAGTCTTCAACTGTGTTTCAGGTCACTTGTTTTTTTGTTTTTTTGTTTTTTAAAGATTTTATTTATTTATTATGTACATCTGCACACCAGAAGAGGGCACCAGATCTCACTACAGATGGTTGTGAGCCACCATGTGGTTGCTGGGAATTGAACTCAGGACCTCTGGAAGAGCAGCCGGTGCTCTTAACCACCGAGCCGTCTCTCCAGCCGCCCTGAACCTAACCTTTAAGGGCTCAGGACAAGTGTGGTAGGACGCAAACACCTATGGGTGTCCCTGCCCATCTGTTCATTCCAGAGTGGGAGGATAAAGAATGCCAGCACAGACTATGCCTACAATATTGCCCGCAAGCAGTTCCAGGCAGTACCCGCTCTCCTTGGAGGTGCTTCATTGATCATAGGTGGCTACCATATAAAGAAGCTGCTCCCATGCCCTGTTTAACAGATGAGGAAACCAAGGTGCTTTTTGCTATGGATTTGCCTAGGGTCACACAGCCCTCTGCAGTCCCCTCAGCAGTGGACACCCAGTCACTCTTGCACACTTTTCTGGATAGTAGACCTAGCCTCTATCCTGGGCAGCCCAGCTTGTTGGCTCTGCCTCAGCTTCCCCATCCAGACAAGACCAGAGAAAATCACCTTGCTGCGGCTGGGTTGGCTGCACCACAGAGAGGGCAGGGAGCCAGCCCAGGAGTGCTGGACCTCTCACATCCAACCACACTAAGATCCTAGCAGTGGAGCATGCGGGCCAAGAAACCTGTCCTTTAGCGCCACCTAATGGTCACATAGTCGAAATGTGGACAGCCACACTGGATGATGAATTGATTGCCTATCCTCCAGATCAGTAAAATGGGACAGTTCCTACCGCAGTGAATGGAATTAATGCATGTGAAACACAACAGGAACTTGACGCTTGTTAGGGTTTGTTATAATGGGTGTGTCCTTTCTGGATCAGTTAGTAGAGTTTGGATGATGAGGACTGTCTAGGGACAATCAGCTTTTTTTTGTAGCCCACATTCTACAGCATCAGGTATGCAAAACCCTCAGTACATTTTGGCCCAGTGAGTTCAGATGTCCCTTTTCACTCCCCATTCACCAACTTGCTTGTGCTACATGGCTCCCACATTCCAGGTACTGGTAGGAGCCTCCAAGAGAGAAATAAACCAGGCAGCACTTCTCCCCGCTGCAAAAAGAAGTCTCTTCTGGGTTTGGAGGTAGAAAGCCTGCCAGGAACTCAAGAGGCCCTGCTTTTGATCACCAACAAAACAAACCGAAACGGTGAAGAAGAGACACTTCCAGACTAGAGAGTCTCATTTTTTTTTTTTTTTTTTTGGTTTTTCGAGACAGGGTTTCTCTGTGGCTTTGGAGGCTATCCTGGAACTAGCTCTTGTTGACCAGGCTGGTCTCGAACTCGCAGAGACCCGCCTGCCTCTGCCTCCCAAGTGCTGGGATTAAAGGCATGCACCACCAACGCCCGGCTCAATTTTTTGTTGTTGTTGTTGTTTAAGCAGCCCTTTTCATTCTTTAAAGTCTGGGCAGGAGAGATGGCTCAGGGGTTAAGAGCACTGGCTGCTCTTCCAATGGACCTAAACTATGGCTCACAGAAGTCTGTAACTCCATTTCCAGGGGATCTGATGCTCACTTCTGGCCTCCACGGCACCAGGGACACATATGGTGAATATACCTGCACACAGGCAAAAACATCCATACACATTTTTAAAAAATAAAAACAAAAACAAAAGCTCAGTACCCAAGAACATCCATGTGTAATATTTACTGATGTATGCTTTATTAAAAAGTGACTTTTTTCAATATTAGGGATTAAATTCAAGCATTCTACCACCAAGCTATTAATACATCCTAGCTCGTCAGTAGCCCAGACTGGCCTAGAGCTTGGTATGTAGCTATGCAAGCTGACCAGCCTCCCAAGGGCTGGTATTATAGATGTTATACCATTATGCCCAGCAGTATTCACTGACTCATTCAACAACCAACTCATTGCTTAACAACAGAAACATCATTTTGCAGTAAATCTATTTTTCAAAACATGTCATTTGCAAATGTCTTTATTTCTTTATCTATTTAGTTTTTTTGAGACAGGGTCTTGTATGCAGTCCAGGTTGGCCTGGAACTCTCAGTAATACTCCCAGTTAAGTTTCCCAAGTATTAAGATGAATACTTGGGGGACCTGAAGAGATGACTCAGTGGTTAAGAGCACTAGCTGTTCTTCCAGAGGACCCGGGTTTAATTCCCAGCACTCCAAGATCTTACACCTTCACTCAGACATACATGCAGGCAAAACACCAATAAACATAAAATAAAAATAAATCATTTTTTAAAAGGTTACAAGTGTGTGACACCTCGCCTCTCTGGCAAATGTCTTTAATGTGACTGGCTTAGTGGAAACCAGCTAGAGTTTCACGGTGCACAAGATTTGTGTGTTGCAAGGGGCGTTGGTGGCGCACGCCTTTAATCCCAGCACTTGGGAGGCAGAGGCAGGCAGATCTCTGTGAGCTCGAGGCCAGCCTGGTCTCCAGCACGAGTGCCAGGATAGGCTCCAAAGCTACACAGAGAAACCCTGTCTCGAAAAACCAAAAAGATAAAAATAAATAAAAATATTTGTGTGTTGCTTTGAAGTTCATGAAAAACGGTCTAAGCCTGGCAGAGTGGCTTAGGTCTGTAATTCCGGCTCTTGGAAGGCAAAGAGAGGAAGATCAGGACTTCAAAGTTATCCTCAGCTACACAGTGAATTCATGGCCACCCCAACCTTACAGTTTCCTTTCTAGGAACTGAGACTTTTCAATACTTGGGCCCTGGACAAAACTGACCAGTGAGGCTGGAAGCGGAAGCTGTCAAAGAAGGCATAGCCTGGCTCACAAAAGGAATTAGACAACTAATGTGGCTTCAGCGCCTTGTACATGCCTCCAGTTCCTGCTCCTCCCAAGTTAGAGGAGCCCTAAGGGCGTACTTCCGCCCGCTGCGGAACCTTAGGTTCCGGCTCCGCTTTCCACCGAAGAAACAACACTACCAAAGCGGAAGTAAGGCTGGGCGTGTGGGCAGGGCTCGGCAGCATGTCGGCGGCGTTGCTGCGGCGCGGCCTGGAGCTTCTGGCCGCATCGGAGGGTGAGTACCGCCACCCTTGAGACGTCGCGCTGTGCAGGAGGCCTCGAGGGAAGTGACTGGGAGGGTGGAAACGGGGTGGTGCACACCCTCCGACTCGGTCCTTCGCCGCCTTTCCCTACAGCCTCTCGTGCCGCCCCCGGCCAGGCCAAGACGAGCGGAGCTCCGGTGAAGCGGACCCGGAGGGCGAGGGCAAAGGCCTCCCAGGCCCTGAAACTACGGAACTCAGCGAAGGGAAAGGTGCCTAAGTCCGCGCTAGGTGAGTGGGGGAAGAGTCTGCGAGTGCTTCGCAGGGTTAGGGAGCATCGCCTTCGAGGCAGGGTTCCAAACATTACCCGAGACTCAACAAGAAAAAGGCAAGAAGATAGTTGAAATGGTGGGGGACAGGTTTCGAACCCAGCAGTCTAACTCCCAAGTCTGGACTCTCAGCTGCGAGTCTTTGCAATGTAGCTGCTAACAGAATGAGAGAAAGTGAAAGAGCCTGGAGTGGTGACACACCTGTAATGCCAGCACTTTGGAGGTAGTGATAGGAGGACCAGAAGTTCAGTGTCGTCATTCCTGGCTGCGTGGGAGCTCAAGGCAAGCATGCCCGTGAAGGTGAATGAAACGCAAGGTCCAGGTACTTATGAACTATATATAGCCTTAGTGGGAAGAGAAGCATCAGAGAGTCCCAAACTAGCATGTAAGTTTTTGGTAAGTGTGTGAGGCTTGTGATATAAAAGACTCTACGGTGCTCCAAAGGAGAGTCAAAGTAACAAGCCAAATTAAGGCTGAGCAAGCTGCCAGGTGAGGGGTGGGGAGCATTATCCAGAAAGGCTTGAGAATTTGGAAGAAAGAAGGCTAACAGAGTAAATGTGTTGTGAACAAGAGTCAAGATGGAGTGTCCATCAGGGCAAGAAGACTGACTCAATGGTTAAGAGTACTTGCTCTTGCAGAGGACCTGGGCCGGTGGGTCGGTTGGTCTGTCTGTCTGTCTCTCTCTCCCTCTCTCTCCCTCCCTCCCTCCCTCCCTCCTCTTCTCTTCTCTTTTTCTCTTCTCTTCTCTCTGTGGGTGTGGTGTGTGTGTAATAGCTTTGACTATCCTAGAACTTGCTTTGTAGACCAGACTGGCCTTGAACTGAGAGCGGTGGGTCGGTTGGTCTGTCTGTCTGTCTCTCTCTCCCTCTCTCTCCCTTCCTCCCTCCCTCCCTCCCTCCCTCCTCTTCTCTTCTCCTCTTTTTCTCTTCTCTTCTCTCTGTGGGTGTGGTGTGTGTTGTAATAGCTTTGACTATCCTAGAACTTGCTTTGTATACCAGACTGGCCTTGAACTGAGATAGACCCACCCATCTTTCACTTCAGGGTTTTAACACTGTTTTCCATCTGTCCCCAGATGCCCTTTCTCTAGATGATTGGTTCTCAACCTGTAGATTGAAATTCCTGGGGGTCAAATGACCCTTTTACAGGGGTCACCTAAAACCATCAGAAAACACAGATATTTACATTGCAATTCATAACAGTAGCAAAATCACAATTACGAAAGACCAACTAAAATAAAATAATTTATGGTTGGGGTCACCACAACATGAGGAATTGTATTAAAGGGTTGCAGTATTAGGAAGGTTGAGAACCACTGCTGTAGATGTTTGACAACTCTGACTTTCCAGTCTTCAGTGAGGCCATCTTAGGACTTTATTAAATTTCAACCCTCCACTTCTGGCACTCCCTTTTTCTGTTCCTGCTCAGTTTTTCTTTGTATGGTTGATAACCCTGACTAGACTGCATTCAGGAGAACAAGGCAGGAGAATCTCTGAATTTGAGGCCAACCTGGTCTACAGAATGGGATTCCCTCCACCCCCAAGGAAAAAAAATGGATAGATAGCCCTCTAAAATTCTCATTATCATACTTCTCAGTCCTTTTCCTGTAAAAATGAGACCAGGGGTTCTGTGTGTGTCCTGCTTCTATAACAATTAGAGCTTGGTGCATAGTTGTGCTCAGGACATACCTGTTTTTATTCGTTTGTGGTGATGGGCTTTTGGTGTGTTGTTTTTTTAACAGTCTTGCTACATAATGCTGTCTGATCTGGTTCTTGCTATGTAGTTAGGAGCAGTCTTTCTGTCTCAGCCTCCTAAGTGCTGGAATCACAGGTGTATGTATACCAGCATGCCTGGCTTAAGACATAGTTGTTGATTGATTGCGTTATATGACTAGCTGAAAGCCATTCTGTAGGCAGGGACTTTGAGCAAACCAAGTAGATTTGGCTGAAAAGAGCCCAGACTATTAAAATAATTAGGAAAGAGACAGTGGGGCCTATGGCAGGGGCAGGGACCCAGAAGGCTTCTATAGTATGATGAGTCTGAAATGACATACCCTGCCTGCCACCCACAGCTGAGTACCAGAAACGACAGTGTCAAGACCACCTCAAAGCAAACCTGAAGTTTATGACCAGCGTGAGAAGCACCGTGCCAGAGTCTGTGACCCAGCAGGTTTGTCTGGGGGTGCAAGCTATAGGAAGGGACCTGGGATGATAGCCAAGGCTGTTTTGAGGATCTGTGTGGATCTGTCTCAGCCCTGAATACAATGTGGAGTTGGTCCAGCCCTGCCCTGAGCCATGTGATCTGAAGGGTATCCACCTGTGCTTCCAAAAATGGAAGTCCTTTGCTCTTACTCCAGAACCTTTCCAGATTCTGCAGCAGAGCCAGGGCCGCAAAGCTTGTGACCGGGTAGTGACCAAGACAAAGAAGAAGAAAAAGAAGGCTGAAGGCACTGTGTTCACTGAAGAAGACTTCCAGAAATTCCAGAGGGAATATTTTGGCAGCTAGGCTTCCTGAGGAATAGTGGGGACAAAAAGCTCTATCCTCCCTTGACTGTCTGTCTCTGTGCCATGGGTGACCAGCAGGTGGCAATGCAATATAACCTGGCTCAGGAAGCTCTAGAGCTGTCATCCCAGGGACACTGGAATAGAGCTGCAAGCCCTGGGGCAAATTTGCCCTCAAATTGAAGTGGATTTGTGCTGGTTTGGTTGGAGCCATCTATGCCCTGCCAGAAGAGTCTGACCTGTGAGCTTTGAACAGGACAGGACCCTGGGGCTCTTTACGTATCTAGAGGGCTAGATACGTCGCCCTCTCAGACCGTACCTCCAAGAACTGCATGTCAGCTGTTGGGTTCAAGTAAATGTGGATTTGAGCAAATGTGTGATGTGTGTGCATGCACGCTGTTGGTGTGACTTGTATCTCCCATCCCAATGTGGATCCAGGTGCTCCATGTCACAAGTCCCCCAGTTTAGGCCCAGTAGGAGTCATAGGAAGCCTTCCACCAGCAATGCCCTCCTCTCTGGGCATGGCCCCTAGCTGCTAGCATTGCGTAGGAAGTGGACAGAAGGTCTGGGAGTGCAGAAGTGGAGCTGCCTCAGCCCTCTTGTAGCTTGGGTCTGCTCTGACACCAGTAGAGAGGGAAAAGCCAGCTGGATGCTTATGACACATGGGATAGGGGCATAGGTCAGGGTTTCAGGAGTCATCCTAAGCAAACATTGACATTTAAGTCTGTACCCCCAGCCAAGGACAGCAGTGAAAGCAAGGGTTGTGCCATCTCAGGGCAAACTTTACAGGAAACAGTGCCACACAGGTGGCAAAGGGAAGGTTATATGGAATGAACACACTATGGAAAGCATGGCACAAACGGCTTCTCTCCAGTGGAGAAGAGATGACCTGTCACAGAGACCAGGACACCCTTCAATGGAGCTAGATGAAATCCTAAGGAGAAAACTGATGGCCTTCAAACAGCCATCTTCTCCCCTGAGCCTGCCTTTCCATTTTCAGCCCAGGGGTTCCTTAGGTCATGGGACTCCTGGACTCGGCACATCCCAGAGCTTCTAGTAGCAGAAGGGTATTGATGAGCCCCTGCAAGACAGTGGTTGAACTTTGTCCTCAATGAGAGAACAGGGTTCACTGCCCCCACCCCAGGCATCTCTCTTTTGCCTTTAAACAGTGTTGTATCTTTACTTGGGGACACAAAACTACCTATAGCAAGTAAGAGTGTATCCTACCTTCATGTGGCATCTGCCTGATGGGAAGCATGGCCATCCATCCAGGAGGTTGAACGGGAGGGAGGGAGGGTCTGTGACTATAAGCTAGTGATTGGGAGCTCTGGTTCCTGTGTGGGCGGTTCAAAGGGACATGGGTGCTGGTTTTCAAACCCTTCACCCCCCTCCTTCCTGCTTGCAAATTCAGGTGACCTTGGGGACTCATTTCCTCCATCTTAAATAAGCCACTTGACTCTTGTAGAGGGGTGATGAAGGGCTCTAAAATCCCCTTTCTAGGGAGCACACACCTGTGGTCACGATTATGTAGAGGATGCCAGCAGAGATCCCTTTCCTGGTATAAGGCCTTGACCTGCTGCCAAGGATGGAGTCCTGACCATTATCCTAATCTCTACCAACCAGTGGCCCAGTAAGAGGATACTAGTTGTTACATTCAAGCCAAAGGAGCCTAGCAGAGGGAGGCTACCCCCAACTAAGGCATCCTAGACAGCTGCAAAGGCTACCAGAACATTTGGGCCAGTCCCCTACCCCAATCCCTCATGCTTCCTGTAGTTCCTGCTGTAGGCTGAGCCATCCACACTGCTGGATAGAGTGCAACAGGACTGCTAGAGTGGTCTAACTTGGGGGCTGGAGAAAGCTGAGCCCAAGACCCAACTAGAGCTAGGTTCAGGATAGGTGGGCCGGGGTGCTCTCCCTTTTCATAAAGTTTCCCCATTCTTTTTTTTTCTTTTGGTTTTTCGAGACAGGGTTTCTCTGTGTAGCTTTGGAGCACTCGCTCTGGAGACCAGGCCGGCAAAGTTTCCCCATTCTTAAAGGCCTCGTCAGGAGAGCCAGCAGTCTGCACTGGGGAGATTTCCCCAACCTAAGCTGGCCTGTCTCTGAAGTCACTTTTGAGCATTTACCTGCCATCCACCATCGCCAAGAGTACCTGGGGAGGTGCTCAGCACTTGGGTCTCACTGCAGACTTACTCTTTCTTGGGCTTTTCTCTCTCCAAACCCTACTCCACAACCTTACTGGCCAAGACAGTCCTGCTTCCTTCATCCAAAAACAAGATACCAAGTAAATGAAAATCAAATAACTAGGACACTTGTAACATGTTTAAAGAACACCCAGTATAGAATTTATCAGTAGAAATAAACATGGCTGAGTTCATACCACTGAAAAAAAATCTCGAGTTCAGCTGTTCAGATGGGCTGGGGGACCACACTGGATCTTTAAAGCCTAACATAATGGCTATGGAATACAAATATGAGGAAGGACTCCAAGGTCACCGCCCAAAGTAAAAACAAAACCAGTGTTTCTAGAACTTCCTCCGCTCTTAGTCAAAGACTATATGTGGGTGGATCCCTTAGTGTGAGGCTGGGAGACCCATATTTAGGAATTCCAGATCCTAGAGCAGATTCAAAGGACTACATTCATTCCAACAGCTAGCACTCAGGTGAATCTGTAGGGACCGGGAAGGATAGTCAGGGAAATCACTCTTAACCCCAAGGCCTTAATCCACTTTACAAGTTTAGGAAGCATAACCCAGATCCAGTACCCTGGAGCAGGAGTCATGGCTTCCCATTCCAGCTTTCTGCCCCAATTCCCAATCCCTCCCCCAAGACTGTTTCTACGTGTAGTTTTCACTGTCCTCAAACTCAGATCTGGGGTAAATTCTTCCTTGTATGCACATTTCCTACCCTGTAGAGACAGTGCCCAACCATTGCTTAATCACACCCAGCCTGTTAATGTTAACCCAGGTGGAAACAGCCCAGCTTCCCAGGCAAGCCCTTCATCGGTAATTGTTTTTTCTGCCATCAACAGGGGAGAAATCTAATCAGCTTAGCTTATGTGCTCAAGTACTACAGTGCCTTATCTAGGTGCCTACATGGCGGATGTCTGGCAAAAAGCCAATTATTAACAGATGGAGTTCAGGCGGCTCCCCTTCAGTAATCCAGTTTGTCCGACTAGCTGACAGTATACACACCGCTTTTATTACCTAAACAGCTCAGACCTGTATTGAAGTACCCACTCAACTACGCACCTGCCACTCAGCAGAAAATAGAACACAGCAAACCTGCACTGGTACTTTACTACAAAATAATTTATTACAGCAAACACAGCTTCATCACAAGACTATATATACAAGCACAAAGCACTACCCTACTAGGGAGCTCTCTTCTTCCCCCTTGCCTTCCGGACCTCTTCTATCAGATCTTTCAGATATTGGATCTCTTTGGCAAGAGAATCTGCCTTCTCTTTTAGAGCTTCATTCTTCTTTTCTAGCTCTCTACACTCGCCTGTCAGGGCTTCCTGTTCAGCCCGCTTCTTCTGTCGGTATCTAGTGGCTGCTGTCTTGTTTTGCTCCATTTTTTTTAGCTTCTTATCCAACTTTTCAATTTTCACTTTAGCTGTTAAAGTAACTCCAGGGGGGTCATAAGGTTTGGGTCTTGGTGACCCACGGGTAACAACTGGAGAGGGCAGACTGCTTGGTGATCCCCTGGAGGTGGAGGGGCTATGCTGGGGGGAGCCCAGGTAGGACTCAGGGCTCATACAGATGCCACTGTCATTATCTGAGGGGGTGTCTTCATCCTTTACACACTGGGGGATTAGAGTAATATAAGCAGAGTCAGGCTTCCTGTCTCCTTCAGAGATATCAACTTCACTGCCTAACTCTAAACTGAAGGAATGATCTGGAGTGGAAGACAGGACCCCTGGGGAACAGGGAAAAGGTTGCAAGAATGCAAAGGGGGCAACCTGGTCTATTTTTGTTGCACTTTCTGGGAGATGGCCAATTGGGTTCACTGTCATGGGCTCCTTGTTAGTCTCTTGGACTAGAGGGGCAAAAAGATCACATGTGTCATCCAACGTGGCCAAAAGCTCATCTGGCATGGTATCCAGGTCATCCATTCGAAACAGAGCATCAAAGTCAAACTCTTTAAGATCCATTTTCTCCAACATCCAGTCTGTCCCGGAGAATGCATCCTCTGGAAAAAAAAAAAAAAACATATTAAAACCCATTACAACACCAGACCCACATGAAAAGACCATTCTGGAACAAATGGCCCACTCACCCTTGCCGGTGTCTGAGGCACTGACCAACCCATCCACAGCCAGCCATTCGGAGGAGCCCGCCTTAGCCTTGTCGCTGGAGAACCCATGAGGTTTGAAGTGCTTGGCCACCTCCAGGTAGTCATCTAAGAGCCCTAGGCTTTCTTCAGCCCCCAAACCCGACTGGTCGAAGGGGGACATCAAGTCCCCAGCCAACACTTCGCTGTTCAGGAAGCTCATCTCGGTCATGTTGTAGGGCTTTGCTGGAATCGAGGAATGTGCTTAAATCGAAGCTGTCTTTGTCCGTTACAGCAACGCTGCTGCTGGATTCCGTGAAAAACCTGAGTAAGAATCCAAAAGCAAGTCCCATCATCTTCCTATCTAAAATGCAGGATGGCCAAATCCCAGAAGCCTGTGAATGGGAAGCTCGTGGGCCCAAGGCCATTGTGTGAGCCTCCCCGGCGGCCGGCTCAGGTTGCACAAGATGGAGGCTCAGCCTTGCTTCACCAGCCACCCAGAGGAAGCAGCTTGTCCTCGCCTAATACGGCCATGACCGTGGTGCCCCGCCCCTGTGACTCACACCCATGCCCCGCCGCCATCTTGGCCGCGCCACGTTCACAGGATGTCACCAGGAACCGGGCGAGGCCGCGGTTGAGCTGCCAGACTACCCAAAGGAAGCAGCAGCGTTATAGGCAGCGCTTCCCCACCCCACCCCGCCGCCTGCGAGCGCCGGCGTCTCGGAGCCACGCAAACAAGGCCGACGCGTCCGGCCGCTCGTAAAGCGGCGTACGGTGGTCAACGCGCCACGGCCACAGGCCGCGCCCTGCCCCAGCAAAGCACACGCCCTGCGCAACCGGCCCAGTACTCACGCCATGGCTTAAGCCGGTGGGGGGTGCCGCTGCAGAGCCTGGTGCTGCTGCCGCCGCTGCAAAGGCCAACGCTGCCGCAGGCACTGCTGCCTCTAATACGCCATGGTGGCCGCAAACCCTGCGGGAGGGGAGGAGAGGGACAACAGCGCACACACACTCATCTGCCGGGGAGCAAGTAGAAATGGCTGCGACACGCCCTGCACACGCCTCTTATATGCTGAGCGAGAGACGCAGCACCCCGCGCATCCTCCCGCCGTGACCACGTGACCCTGCCGCAGACCCACCCAGCCGCGTCCCATTGAGGTCCTGGCCCTCCCTTACCCCCTCCACTGTGCTCGGGGAGTAGCTGTGAGGTTGAGAGATATTCTGAAGGCCCCAGGAAAGGAGAAATGTACACTGCTTTACAGGTTTACGGCTAAACGAAGTCACGTGTCGCCGCGGAGGGATCTCTCCACACCGAACTTCCGGTGTTAGCTCACAGGGCGGGGAGAAGCACTTCGCCAAAGCTATTATGGTCAAAGCCTAAGCTGCCCGGTTATCACGCGAGACGCCGATGGAGCCCGCGTCGAGCTGATTGGCCCAAGCGTGGCGAGTCATGTAAACTTCAAGTTTCTATTGGTTCCGAACCTGAGCACTGTAAGAGCACAAGCACTGTGCAGGAAGGGTGGGGCCACAACAGGTTCCCGCCGCCAAATTCCGGCTCTTGTCAGGGGTGACCCTGCTATAATGGCTGTCTCATGCATCGCTCCTAAGCAGCTTTGGTCTAGCACGCAGCAAACAGTTCCCCTCTGGAAGCCCTCCTTCCCTATATTTGGTGTTCTCAGGACCGAAAGGGCAGGTTTCCGGCCTGTAGAGGCCCTGCGGAGTTACACGGTCCGAGCCTTCAGTCTCGCGGTCAAGGGACCGCCCTTTGAGGGAGGGACAGAGCAGGGGCGCATGTCGGAGCCTCATTGGGAGGATATTCCGGTTCCTCTTAGCCCTACATCTTTCCTCTGAACTCAGTACTGGGAAAAAAATACCTAACCTCAGGTCTAACCTAATCTAAACATTCCCATTCTGCTATCATAAGGGTGCTTACTGCTGGTTTATATAGGGTCAGTTGATCATGTTTTGTTCAACTGGCTCTCAAGCCCCAGGGTAGTTTTGAATAACTCCAGGCATAACCTTCCCAAGAAGTCATCCAGACTGACACTCGATAAGTGATGAAGCCAACCCTCCATAAAGGGTGCTGTTTTGGGAGTGCTGAGAGTCCCTTTTCCACACTCTCGCCCCTTAAAGGCAGAAATCTTGAGTTTCCACTTCTGTTGAAGTGACTCACACGATATGCTCTTCTACAACGGCTGGCTCAGTCATTGGGGCATTTGGCTAAATGACATCCACTGAGTCTGTTTCCTTATCTGCAAGAGGAAGTTGTCTCTCCTTGTACTAAGAAACAAACAAGTAAAACAATTGGCACAGGGCCTACCACTTAACTGCTCAATAATTATTTGCAAGCCACGTACAATAGCACACACAATCCTAGCACTCAAAAGGCCTCCAGAGTACCATAGTTCAAGGTCATCCTTGACTACATGGTTGAGACTAATCTGAGCTACATGGAAGGGGGTAGGAGTAATTTTGATTGCTATTGCTATTAAAACTCAGAACTCTGACTCTGACCTCATTATTTCTCAAGCCCCTACTCCATGATTCATCCTGCTTCCTCAGAGGATGTTTTACTATTGACTGAGACTAACCCAACTATAAACACCAGAATTCAGAGCTGGAGAGATAGCCCCAGCTAAGAGCACTGGCTGTTCAGACCCAAGACCACACGGTGGCTCACAACCATCCCTAATTCCAGTTTCAGGGAATCTGATGCCCTTTTCTGACCTCTGTGGTCACTAGGCACATGCATGTACTACACATGCATGCATGCAGGCAAGGCACCCATACACATAAAATAAAATGTTTTAAAAACTTAGGAGAAAAAAATTTTAAACTCATTAAAGTCAGATGATGGTGGTGCACCATCTTTAATCCCAGCACTCAGGAGACAGCCTCGTCTAGAGTGAGTTTCTGGACAGCCAAGGCTACAAAGTAAAACACAAAATAAACAAAACAAAAAATATAACGACAATGCACAAGCCCTACATAATGGGGTAGATGTTTCTTATCCCCAAAGAAATCTTCAGTACATGTGCAGACATAGAGAAATTGTGTTGTCCTTACATACAAAGGCACCAAGAGCGTTAACTATGTCGTCGTCCTTTGCTCTATGAAGGCTCCTGACAAAAGGCCATGCAAAAGGTTAAGAAACACTAACCCTGATTTGACACTACAGAGGTCACAGGACAATGTCTGGTGCCCCCCCAGCCCCATTCTACTACAGAGATCCATGGCAAATGCTTTAAACAGAAAACAGACTTTCACCCATGTAAGAAAATACTTCATACCACATACACACATCAGAGTTGTTGGAAAGGAGATTTTTATTTTCTTCTTCCCGTGCTGCAGAAGTGCTATTTTCCCCAGTTGAGTTTCCTCCTTCAAGGAGAAAAAGGAATAAAGTTCTCTGGGCCTCAAAACTAAGCTGCTCCTATATGGACCCAGCCAAGACAAGACACAAAGATTGGTGACTGATTCCATTCTACCAGCTTAACACACTGACCACCCTGGAAAGGCAGGGAAGAAGGCAAGTTGTGGACCTGGCCTCAGAGACCAAGAGTTTAAAGACTAGAAGGTGATCAAAATAAAAGTTAACACGAATCTCACCCCCAAGTCTGCAGTTAAATACTGAACCTACAATCCTGGTATTTTGGCCATTTATAAATCTAAGAGGTTTACAACCTTCCAGCCTGGTGAAAGGGTCAACTCTAGTCCCCCACTGCCTCATCATTTACCTTAGTCTTGAGCTTTAAGCAAAAAATGCTAGAATTGCCGGGCTTTGGTGATGCACGCCTTTCATCCCAGCACTCAGGAGGCAGAAGCAGGCAGATCTCTGTGAGTTCGAGGCCAGCTTGGTTTACAGAGCGAGTTCCAGGACAGGCACCAAAGCTACACAGAGAAACCCTGTCTCAAAAAGCAAAAACAAACAAACAAAAAAAAAAAAGCTAAAAGTGTAGCATATCCTCTCAGTCCAATCAAGTCATAATCCCAAGGGAAGTCTACCTTGGCAGAAGGCTCCGAACACATGGAGAGCAAGGGCCCTTGTTCCTGAAGCTGATTCACTTTAACTATCTGAGCTCTTTGGAGGATTACAGTGGAGTAAAATCAGTCAGGGCCACGCCCAAGAAGATAATGGGTCTCCAACAGTTTTTCCATCTTTATTTCTTTAAAAAGACTCAACTGTTAATATGAAGAAAAATACTGCTATCCTGAATTCTGTTTTTGAGAAAGGAGAACAGAGAAGAACCAAAATAAAATTGGGATTTGCTTGGTTATTAAGGTAATGTGTACAGTTTTAGGTATCAAGTATGCAGTTTCGGGAGTTACTTACGAGAAAGGCAGAGTGGCGGGGCAGCCACTGGGTCTTTGACATGTGATAGAGGGGAGGAGGAACAGAATATTTTCTTCCATCCAAGCATCCCAGAGCATTTGGCCACCTCCCATACTTTATGACAAAGAAAATGACAGCAAAGAGGAAGGCCTACCCAGCTAATCAACAAGCCCACAGGACAGAACTGTTCCCACTTCTCCTTGCTCTGAGGACTTCTAAGAGGCTCTTGCTTGTAAGATGGCCAAGTCAAGATTTTGGTTTTTGCAAAGCACAGTCCAAAGTCCTTTTCTTAAGTTCATAATGACATATGGCTGTGATTATTTGGGACATTTAAAAGGGGGAGCATCTTCAAACTTTAGTGTTTCATTTGCACTCTCTCTGGTATCTTAAATGGAATCAGTTCAGAGACGACAGTGTGGGAAAGTCTTATAATACTTATGACAGGAAATCCAAAGCTATCTAAACAAAATCTGGTTTGAAGCCATCTACCAACCACAGCCCCAATAGGCACCAGCTAGAACCTTGAACCCCCTCAAAACAGCCCTTCTATATCTGCTCAGTCCAACCTAGGCAACACATGTCTTCAACTCCAGTTTCATTATTATAAACAGCCAGCAGGTCACGTTTCAGTTAAGGTGCTTGGCTTTATCTCTTTCAAGTTTCTCGTACTATCTTACACAAATCAAAAAGAAATTCCTGAAGGAGTCTTTATATATATATATATGGGAGAAGAGGCAGAAAGGCTAAATATAGCCCGGCTCAACCTCCTAACCTATGGGAAGAGGAAAAAAAAAAGGCAGGTTATCTATGCTACCCTAATTTCAAGTGGGTTGCTTCAGGGTCAGTGCTATTTATAGTCACTTCATGTCACCCTCATTAGGAAGGGCCAACACAGCTGCAGAGTGTGTCACCAGAATCACACTGTTAGAGGTAGCAAGAATAGATAAAATAGAAAGACTTGATGGGAGAACAAAATGCTAGATGAGCAAATCAGAACCAGAGTTACAGGTTTTGAACCAGGCTGACTCTTGTCATGAACGGAAGACACACTGACATGACATACTAAACACCTCCCTTCCCCCACCCATAGGATACAATTACATGGCCATAAATATCGGTCTTAGAAGCAATGTGGGAAGCCCCAACTCTTTCCTGTGTGTCTTATCTATGTATTCTCTTCCTAGGTAGCACCAATCTCCCCAGGAGACAGGCGAAGGACAAGGGCTTCATGTCCCCTCTGGCCTGTGGAGGTACCTATAGTATTCATTAAACACTCTCTCAGGTCGTTGAGAAGAGGGGTTGGGTAGGAGGTATTGGCCCTGGGTGTATTCTTGCTCTAAGGCAACATTTAAGAAAGGTAGAGCCTGTCAAGAAGAAAACATGGTCATGGGTTTTAGCTGACACTCAGCCACTTACTGCCTTCCCTTGACCTCTACTGCTAAAGCAAGGCCTTCTTCTGTTGGCAATAAAGGAAGCCAGCATCCCTGGAGGTGCTACCTGTGAAGCCCGCAAGCCTTCCCTGTCAGTGACTTTAGTAACTACAGACAGAAACAGACAGTGGGAACACAGAACCCCTTCCCCCTGTGCTCTCAACTGACAGCCATAAAGAAGCACAATGTCCAATAAAATAACTGGACCAGCTCCTCCTGTATGGGGTCAATGCACTAGCCCCAGGTGAAAAAGTCTTAACACAGGAGTTGCTTGGGGAAGGGGAGGAGAAGGGCGCTTGCTTCCCAGGAACCAGAGTCAAAGGCTGATTTGCCAGGGCAGAGACTCTTTGTCAACTCCCACCCCCTCCGCAAATCTAAATACTGTCTCATCACTCTGCAGAGTGCAGCTTGAAAACATGCAATCAGCTCTTCTGTGACACCACAGGCAACATCTTCATTAGGCAAATGTGCTCCAGGGGCATGAGCAAACAGGTGTGACCAAAAAAGGGAAAGACAGAGAGTAAGAGGCCAAAGGGCAGAACAGTGCAGACAGAAGAGCAAGGAATTTAGGGCAAAAAACAAAAACAAAAACAAAACACCCAACAGCTGAGGCCAGCACTCCACCTTCTCTGTTCCAGAAAAAAATCAGCCTAGAGCAAGGCGGCAATAGGGAGCACAGTGTTTGGTAACAAAAATAGGGATGGGTGGGAAAACCGAAGGGATGTCATTCTAATCAGCATGAAGTGAACAGGACAATGACCAGCAGACAGGAGGCACCTAGGGACCCTGTGAGGCACCAACCATGTAGCCAAGTGTTTCTAACGGAGACTCTGGGTCTGATCACCCGACGCCCACTCCAGCCTTCACCTGCCCTACGTCTGCAGCAGCACCTCCGGCTCAGACAACGAGGAGTAGAGAGTATATCCCAATTCGTCTATTTCTTGAGGAGTGAGCTCTGCAAATAGGTTCACCTTGGGGTTCAGGGCACTGGGCAAGACTCCAGCCTCCAAGTAGCTAATGAGTCCCCTCAGGGCCTGTAGGAAGCGGTCAGCCAGCATGTCTGAAGACCAGTCAGCCTCCTCCTGGGCCAAGTGGAGGATGACATTGGTTAGCTGGCTGGCAGTGAGGTGGCCCAGTGCTGGAGTGGACTTGCATATGGCCTTGAGGATTTTGAGGCACAGAGATCGGCAGCCCGAGTCAGCCTGGTCCAAAGCCCGTAAGCGTGCTGTCTCAGCAGGACGCAAGCTCAGCCGCCACAGGTTGTCATACTGAGCTAAGCGGTGTGGTCTGGCCACCAAGACAGTGTCACCAAGGGTCACTGATGGCAAGAAGTCAATGACAAGATGTTTGTCCCTCTCATACTGCACTTCTAGTGTCAGGGCCTCTGGGGGTGGTGCTGGTCGGATCACATAGTCCAGGAGGGACCCTATGGCTGGCCAGTTGATAGAGCCTGCCACTACCTTCTCAAATGTGTCTGCCACTGTCTTTGGGGAGAGGTAGCCACCTACAACACAGCGGTCCCAGTAACTGCTACCACGAGGAAAGTACTCTGGGTTCTCACGACGGACCAGGAAGAATCCAGGGACATTCATGATGGTGTCCTCACCAGGTATGCACGACCACAGGTTCTGCTCCAGCACAAGGGGGACAATGAGTTGGATATGGTCAGCTGTCACCACCTGCCAGAGCAGAATTAAAAAGGGTTGGTTTTGTTTTCGATTTTTTATTATAGCTGTTTGTGTGCATGTGCACACATGTAATGTATCAGGGCATGCGGAGGTCAGAGATAACTCACAGGAGTCAGTTCTCTCCTTCCACCATGTGGGACTCGGGGACTGAACTCAGGTCATCAGATTTGGTGGCAAGCATCTTTATCTGCTGAGTCACCTCACTGGCCCCACAATTAAAAGAGGTTTTAAAGGGCTTTACGGGAGCTGGAGAGATGGCTCAGAGGTTAAAAGCACTGGTTGATCTTCCAGAGGTTCTGAATTCAGTTCCCAGCAACCACATACATTGAGGTTCACAACTATCTACAATGAGATCTGGTGCCCTCTTCTGGCCTATAAGCAGACATGCTGGCAGAACACTGTACATATAATAAATAAATAAATAAATAAAAATAAAGAGCTTTATTATTCATAAAATGTATGCTACCTACAACATAGGTCCTAACATCTTGCAGTTGCCAACAATAATAGAAACTAATCATTCAATTAGCACACAGGAAACAGGACAAGAATACAATACCCTCCCTTATTTGGGCTTTATCTATCTATCTATCTATCTATCTACTTTTTATTATTTATTTTGAGGTAGAGTGTCATATAACCCAGGCTGGCCTCAAACTACATAGCTGAGAATGATCCTAACCTTCTGATCTTTCTGCCTCCTAAGTGCTGAGATGACAAGTCTGTGTCACTATGTCTATTTTATGCAATACTGGGGATTGAACCCAGGGCCTAATACAACTAGGCTATATCAACTGAGTCACATCCCTGACCCCTATAGCTTCTTAAAAGTGTAGGTATGACTAAGAAGTGAGAAAGGATGGAGCAGAGAAATAAATATGGATGTGGGACAGGATTTACAAGCAAGGGACTTTCCAGCTGAGTCCCAGACACAGTCTTTTCTTTCTTTCTTTCTTTCTTTCTTTCTTTCTTTCTTTCTTTCTTTTCTCTCTTTCTTTTTTTTAAAGATTTATTGCATGTATGCCTGCAGGGCACCAGATCTCATTACAGATGGTTGTGAGCCACCATGTGATTGCTGGGAATTTTGAACTCAGGACCTCTGGAAGAGCAGCCAGTGCTCTTAACCGCTGAGCAATCTCTCCATGCCCCCACAATGACTTTCTTAAACAACCACAATACTGAGAAGTGTCTGTCTGTACCCAGCCCCACCCTTCATAAGGACTGTGTTACCTGCAGATCATCATAGAGGCTGCCACTCAAGTACATGTCCCGAAGTGGCATATCAGGCAGTTTGGCCCGCAGGAAGCTCCGGAGCTCTGCACAGATGTCCACTGCAGCTTGCTTGGCCCGAGCCTGCTCTCCAGCAGGGATGGCTGCCCGGTTCCGGTAGTAAGAAAGAAGTTTCTCCTGCAGGGACATGCGGAGTCGTGACTTCTTCAAGTCTACCTGGCCCCTCCTGGCCAATGGTTTGGGCCGGGGTGGGCAGAATGTATCTGCCAAGGCAAGAGAAAGAGGCATGTAAGCTCTGCCCAAGCTTGCTTAGTCCACAACAGTCCTAGTCCCAGGAAGGAAAAGGACTTGGCACAAAGGGCAAGTTGCCTGACATTCAGTGCTGGGAAGTGTCTCCCCACCACAGTATCTCTCTAAGTCCAGAAATAATCCCAGAAAGTTCAAAGAGTGTCTTACCTGTGTCAAAGGTAGAGGAGTCTGTGGGAAGAGTCTGCAAAGACCTGCTCAGGCCTGTCTTCATATCCTTGTTCAACAGTCCAGGGGAGCCCATCCAGTTTGGCTCTTCCCAGCTCCTCTTCCCAGAATGGCTCAGGCGGGTGGGACTGGTAGGAGCACTGATTGCCCGATCATACATCTGCAATACCAGAGAGGACCCAGGACATATACCAGCCCTCCTCCTTCTTGACACTCCTCGTCCCCCAAACTCTCTGCCCTATTAATAAGTTCAACAAGTTTTTTGTTGTTTTAGCTGATGGTGGTACTGGGGATGAAACCCAGGTCCTTGTACATGCTGGGTAAACATTCTACCACTGAATTACATCCCAGACAATTGTTTTCCACTTTACTACAATTCAGTTTTAGTTAAATGAGGACTGTCTAACAAAATCACTGTTAGCCATTCATGATTTGAATTCTGGTGTATGAATTATAGTACACATGCCAGAAGGTGGTGGTGCTCGCCTTTAATCCCAGCATTTGGGAGGCAGAGGCAGGAGGATCTCTGTGAGTTCCAGGCCAGCCTGGTCTACAGAGCGAGTTCCAGGACAGCCAAGGCTACACAGAAAAACCATCTTAAAAACAAAACAAATAAACAAATAATAAACAGACCATCTTTTTTTTTTCTTTAAATTTTTCAAGACAGGATTTCTCTGTGTAGCTTCAAACCACCCATTTTTAATTCGATCATGGTTATTGAACACCACAAATGGCATGATCCAAAGACAGGCATCCCACTCTCTCTTTAGCCAATATTTTTCTTTAAATAACTTGTTTTAGTCTAAACTATAGAATATACTGATCCATACAGAAAAGCTCAGGAAATACCAAATGCTACAAGAAATAATTTATCCACAATGCTAAAATCCACAGAAAACTATTAATGTATGTCATATTTCTTTCTGGAGATACTTATGCCATCATGATCAGACATTTTCCCCCTTAGATCTGAGTTTTTTATTTTGTACGTGGGTATATGTATGTGCATATGTACACCACAGCATGTGTGTGAACACCAGACAATAACTTTCAGGAGTCAGTTCTTTCCTTCCACCATATGGGTCCCCAGGATCAAACTCTGGTTATCTGGCTTGGAGCAAGCACCTTTACCTAGAGAGCCCAGACTCTATAGACTCCTGAAACCTTGTGTCCTTTTTTTGGTCATTTCTTCCAATCACCAAAGATGCTTCAGTATTTTCTGATTATATAACATTTTCTTTAAGAATATTCCATGTGAAAGGGCTGGGAATGTCGTTCAGCAGCAGAGTGCTTACCTAACACTCCATGTTGAACATAGGTTTATTCAGTCCAGAAGTAACTACCAGCTGTTCCTCAGTATCACCAGAGGGTTAGTCCCAGGACACTACAAGCATACCAAAATCCTTAGATGTCTCAGGTCCTTACATGAAATGGCACTGTAGCTGGGTATAGTGATCCATGTCTAAACTTTCAGTGGTCAGGAGGCAAAGGCAGGAAGATTTGAAGTTCAAGACTATATAATGAGTTCCCAGACAGGCAGGCTATAAGTGTGAAACCTTATCTCAAAACAACAGGGGAGGGAGGGAATATCCAATGGGTAAAGGCACCTGCTCCCCAACAATGCAAGGCAGACGGTGAAAACCCACTCCACAAAGTTGTCCTGTGCAGCTACACACAAGTATCACACCAATAAAATAATTTTTCTAAAAAGTCATTGTGCTGGGCAGTGGTGGCGCACGCCTTTAGTCCCAGAGGATCTCTGTGAGTTCTAGACCAGCCGGGTCTACAAGAGCTAGTTCCAGAACAGCCTCCAAAGTCACAGAGAAACCCTGTCTCGAGAAACAAACAAACAAAAGTCATTGTACTTGCATATAACCTGTGCACAGCTTTATGTGTATTTTAAATTTTATATTATTTATATTATCTAATACAATAGAAATACTATAGAAATAATTATCCTGATTGCTTAAGGAATGACCCCCCCAAAAAAAAAAAAAACTGTACCTATTCAGTGTAAATACAATTTTTTTGTTTGTTTTTCAAGTCAGGGTTTCTCTGGCTGTCCTGGAACTCAGAGACCAGCTTGACTCTGCCATCTGAGCACTGGGATTAAAGGTTGTGCACCACCACACCTGGCCATGCAACTGCAATTTTTTAAAAATATATACTACCCTACCATTTTTTTTTTAAACAGGTTTATCTATTTAGTATACAGTGTTCTGTTGGCATGTATCCCTGCAGGCCAGAAGAGGGCACCAGATCTCACAGTTGTGAGACACTATGTGGTTGCTGGGAATTAGAACGCAAGACCTCAGGAAGAACAGCCAGTGCTCTTAACCTCTGAGCCACCTCTCCAGCCTGCAAATGCAATTTTTAAAATATAGTATTTTCAATCTGGTTGGCTGAAGCTGTGCTATGGACTCACAGACTAAGAGGGTTGTCTGTATGTAAGAGAATACACTAAGCACTGTTCTAAGTTTCTAGGTGTGTCCAGTCTACCCAAATGGTGAAGTTCAACACAAAGTATGCAGACAGAGATAAATGTTTTAAAAGTAAAAGAAAAGGAAACAGAAGTATATGCGTGGTTAGTATTTTAAATCAGGTCATCGGGGAAGGGCAGTTGGGTTAGTTGCTGTGTTTTACTTGCTGGGATACATTTCTTTACATCTCCAGTGAACTCTTTATGGCAGAAGTCTAGAAGCAGACTGCCAGATGAGCAAATTATCCTCTCATTAGTGTGTCAGAGTCTCCCTCACGAGAGTCCCACTTTGTAGAGGCAACTCACCACCTCCCATTCTGGGACCCAGCTGCACAAACTTACCCGCTTAACTGCCAGGGTGGCAATGCCCAACATCGCTGCTCCACCCACACCCAGCACCAGCCGGGCATTGGAGAGCACAAAATCAATGGCAGTGCCGATGCCATTGTCATCCTTCTTGCCTTTGCGCTCACCAGCGCCTGCCATTGCTCACCTGAGAATGAAGACAACACAGCCATCACCACAAGAACCATTCCTTTCTGTACCTTTGCACCACAGTCAAGGTTATTGCATGCAAAATCTAGGACTGCACACTCTGGAGTCCAGAGGGGGAGGGTACCATGTCCTGTGACTCACCTTGATACACAGGAAAAGAAATGCTAGTGTATGCTGTAGAAAAATCTTTCAAAAGACAGGCATGTGACACATGAAGATAGTCAGCAAAACAGAAGCCACATGAAAAAAAAAAAACTCAATGGCAAATCCAAAACTGTTCTTTCCCTCACTGTACTCACACTGTGGCACTTTGCTTTTCTCTACCTTTTACTTTCTATTAAAGCTGCAGGTTCAGGGATATAATGAGGGATTATCTGGTCAATTAAAATATATTTCTACTTCCGCTGGGCGTTGGTGGCGCACATCTTTGATCCCAGCACTCGGGAAGCAGAGGCAGGCAGATCTCTGAGAGGCCAGCCTGGTCTCCAGAGCCAGTGCCAGGATAGGCTCCAAAGCTACACAGAGAAACCCTGTCTCAAAAAACAAAACAAAACAAAAAACTATATATATATATATATATGTATATATATATATATATGAATATATATATATATATGAATATATATATATTCCTACTTCAAATGCATAGAGTAAGCAAGCCAAACAAGGGTTAAACAAGTATGTCTGTGTGGGGTCAGGTAAGACAGATCTTAACCATCCTTCCAGCTGCCACTGTAAAAGAGATGGGTATCAGAAACCCAGTGGAGGCAGAGGATTCTTATCAGGAAAGGCAGGACTCTCACATTTCCACACAACTTACAATGACCTCTGTTCTAAGAAAAACCTTTCCAAAGAGATTTACAAGGCCCAGTGGTGACACACCTTTAATCCCAGCACTTGGGGGGAAGAGGCAGGCGGATCTCTGAGTTGGAGGCCAGTTTGGTCTACACATAGGAACCCTGTCTCAAAAAAGAAAATATGGATGGATGGATGGATGGATGGATGGATGGACGGATTTATGACAAGGAGAGGCACTGGAGGCAGAACCCACTAAAACATCCTTTAAACTAACAGCAGGACCAGAGGGTACCTCTTCCTTCCAAGTTGAAGCCAGCAGAGGCTTATTGAGCCTATCAGTCCTTGGCCCTGCTGATGACTGAAGGATCAAGGTGGGAACAGGGTAACAATACAACATGAGTTTTAGGGACAGAAATTCTGAGAGCTGAGTACCTTCCTTGGGCCTGAGCTAATTTGCTGGGTGACCCAAATGAATCCTTTATCCCCTCAGCTATGAAAGGAGGATCATGACATGGCCCAAATCACAGGGTTGTAGTGAGAAAGAGCATTGGTTCTAACACTGAATGCAGCTACTTCATCCACTGTAAATCCAGCTGTCATTACATCAAGATTTCCATCCACTAGAGAGAAGGGCTGCAACAGACTGTCCAGTTACACTGCATGTCTTGGGAACGAAGCTCAAACAGCCTCCAAAACACACTGAAACTCTCCTGTGCCTGAGCTCAGAACTGGTAAGCAGAGCAGGCTTGCTGAAGGCTTCCCTGACAATCTACTTCAATACTCTCATCCCTACCCCAGGACCAAGTGGCATCATAGACTTGATGACCTGGAAGAGAGCACTCACAAGCTCCAACAGAGAGACAGGTCCTTATACTAAACCTTCCTTATTTGGGTTACTCCTCCTCCAGCATCTACGGACTCTGATGCCTTCAAGCTCCAGAAGACATGAGCTCCCCTGGTAAGGAGAATCAGGCTTGGTTCCTCAAGACAAGCAAGGAGGAGCCCTATTTCTAACAGGTACAGTTTGAGATTAGCCAGATAAAGTTCTGGAAACCTCCTGTATGATACAACTGATCTGTGCACTTAAACCACCCAAGATGGCTGGGTTTGTTTGGTTTTTTGAAGACTTATTTAGTTATTTAAATGTACATTGGAGATTTGCCTGCATGTATGTCTATATGAGATCGCCTGGAAGGGAAGTTAAAGACAGTTGTAAACTGCCCAGGTCCTTTGGAGAGCAGCCAGTGTTCTAACTGCTAAGCCATGTCTCCAGCCCCTAAGATGGCTGAAAGAAAGAGAGAGAGAGGGAGAGAGAGAGAAAGAAAGAGGGAGGGGGAGGGGAGGGAGAGGGAGGGAAGGAGAGAAAAGAAAACATTGATCTGGCAGAAGGCTGGGAAGAATCACACTCTGAACACTTCAAGCACGTTTTATTTAATCTTTTTCTTACAGGGTATCAACCATGAGTCCCTCCCTAGAACCATGTCACCCAAGCTGGTCTCAAACTCCTAATCCTCCTGCCTCCTCTAAGCGCTGTGATTACAGGCATGTGTGATCATACCTGGCTGTATCTCCAATTTAAAGATGAAGAAATTGAAGTACATGTTCAGTAACTAGCCCAGAATATCTTAGTCATCAATAAAGTGTGCAGCCCAGGGTTTGAACCCAGAGCTTATGCTGCTGGGAAAACCAATCCATGAACTGCAAAAAGCCTGCACCACCATCTCACGGCTCATCTCTACCCACTAGACTTCTTACCACTATAGCTTCATGGGAGCATTCTGGCACATTCACTGCTACAAGAATGTAATGTTCTCCTGGGCTTTGGTGGTGCACGCCTTTAATCCCAGCACTCGGGAGGCAGAGGCAGGTGGATCTCTGAGTTTGAGGCCAGCCTGGTCTACAGAGCAAGTGCCAGGATAGGCTCCAAAGCTACACAGAGAAACCCTGTCTCAAAAAACAAAAAAAAGAATGTAATGTTTGACACATTAAGTGTCTACTGTAATGAATGACATTTGAGAGTTTTGTTTGGTCATTTCTTCCAGACACAGGCAATTCTTTAGCCCAGGGTGAAAAATTTAATACCTGTTCCAAACTTTTTCAGACATAATCTATTGTATAGCCCAAGCTGACCTGAAATTGACTACCTGTCCCAGGCTAACTTTGAACTTGTGGTCCTCTGCTCTCAGCTTCCTGAGTACTAGGTTTGCAGGTCTGTACCACCATACCTAGCTTTTTATTTTCCCTTGATGGCAAGATTTAACAATTCACAATCAAAACATTAGAATGCATTTGGTAACTCCCCACTTCTTCAGACCCACTGCCCCTCCCTGTGCATGAAGGGTTCCTAACTCTGGCCCTGTACTGCAAAAGGAGGTCTTCCAATCAAAGGGACTGAGCACTAAGGGTCATTACATAAGGTTCCTGTTTCTGTCTCAGTAAGCATTACCCTCTACCCAACTAGCAAGCCTTATACCATAGCCATACTCTTTGCCTTTCTTTCTTTTCCTTGTTTTGAAACAAATATGTTGCCTAGGCTAAACTAAACTCCTACCTCAGTATTCTGAGTGCTGGAATTAACCAGCATGTACAACCATGCCCAAACATTATGTTTTAGCCTCTTCCCCTTCTCTCAGTGGCCACCAAGCCCTACAGTTGTTTACACTGTTAGTTACATGTGGCACCTCAGTACCTCTATCATCTGACCAAATTCTCTGCCTCTAGTGTCTCTCAATTATTTTCCACACTACCCTGGCACATTCCAAGACACAAATGCCCCCATCATTCCCGTCTTAGTCAGCTATTGGCTCCATAACAGGGAATTCACTGTCCTTCCATCCCTAGCCCAACGTCAGCTCCAGTCACACTCCCTACACCATTCTAGCCACACCAGACATGTTTCCTAGCGTACAGTTCCCACATCCAGGTATTTGTCTATTCCCACTGCAGCAAGTTTCTGCTTCTCATTTGAGGCAGACCTCAAAAGTCCTTTCTGTAACCAACACAATTCTCTCCTACCATCCAAACCAAGAGCAAGCCATCTTCACTCCTGTCTCCTAGCTTTTTTTGTTTGTTTATTTGGTTTTTTGAGACAGGGTTTCTCTGTGTAACAGCTCTGGCTGACCTTGAACTCACAGAGATCCGCTGACTCTGCCTCCTGAGTGCTGGGTCTAAAGCTGTGCACCACCACCACCTGGCTTCCAAAGCTTTATTTATTTATTTATTTATTTTGTTTTTTTGAGACAGGGTTTCTCTGTGTAGTTTTGGAGCCTATCCTGGCACTCGCTCTAGAGACCAGGCTGGCCTCGATCTCACAGAGATCTGCCTGCCTCTGCCTCCCAAATGCCAGGACTAAAGGCGTGCGCCACCAACGCCTGGCCCAAAGCTTTTTATACAGTGTTTAGCATAGCACTATTCATACTAGAATTATTTCCCACAAAACTCCTCCTTAGATTGGTTTTTGTTGTTGTTGTTGTTGTTGTTAAGATTTACTTTATATATGTGCATTTGCTTTGCAATATAATGTCTCTGGCCCATGTGCATGCCTGGTGCCTATAACAGAAGAGGTCATTGGATCCCTTGGAACTGGAGTTATGGATAGTAATGAGCCATCTTCTGGGTGCTGGGAATCGAATCTGGATCTTCTGCAAAAACAACAAGTTCTCATAACCACTGAACCATGTCTCCAGCCCTAGTCTAAAGTTCTTAGTGGACCTATCTTTCTTCTCTATCCCCAGAGCCTAGGTATAAAAAGGAACCTCCAAAAGGTTCCTGAATTAAACATGGCTATTATGCCGCAGTGGAGCTCCCTGATGTCAATGTCTTCAAGAGTAAATAGAGCTAGGGTCAGTGAGACGGCTCAGTGGATAAACACATTTGCTGACAAGCCTGAAGACCAGGGTTTAATCCCCAAGACCCCCAAAATAGACAGAGAGAACCAACTCCCCTAAGTCTTATGACCTCCACATGAATGCTATAGCACATGTACCCACACCCATAATAAACAAATGTAACTTTTAATTTAAGAAAATAAAGGACTAATATTCCACCTGCCAAGTACCATTTTGCAGTGCTGTGTGTACACTGTCTAGGTCAATTCTCACCAAACCTAAAGAGATTAAGTACTATTACTTCTAGTTCACAAATGATGAAATGAAGGCCTGGGAAGGCTTAGAGACTTGCCCTGTTATCCACAGCTACTAGTTAGCAGTACCAGAATTTGAAAGCAGACACCAAGTATCATGATTGCTATACTAATTATTCAGTCATTTGATAAACTTCTGTTTCAGGAAACATGGTGTAATACAATATAAACTAAGTAGACAAGCTGGCTCGGAACTGAACTCTAATGACTTTAACCACTACCTTTTCTAATATTCTCATATACAAAATTGTCTATGAAATAAAATGATGCCAAATCTGTTTTGGTGTGGCTTGTACTCCAAGGCCCATGTTTCTCAGTAATAGGACCCACTTCTATGGACATGTTTATCTTATCCAATGAGTTTTAGAGAGTAACGGACACACTTTGATGATAAAGGAAAGGTAGCCCCTTTCCTAGCTTCTTGCATCAGAAAAAGAAAAACCTCCAGGATCAAGGGATCTACCTACCTGAGGCTTCCTAATGCATCTGTGAGGTGGGGTGGGGGAGCCACAAGTGTCTACTGAAGGCACCTTTGTCCTCTTCTTGGAAGTAGGGTAGGAAGGGAAAAGGGAGGACCCTAAATAAGGCCTCCAAGTTTGCTATGGAGGAAGGCCAGGCCCTTCTCCAGCTGCTTCTCCCGAGCCTCTAGATCCTCAAGCTTCTGATTTTTCCTGAATTCACGGCGGATGGAAGCAAAGTAGAAGTCTCGATCAGTGTAGCGAAGCTCTCGGCCTTGGCGCAACAGAGCCCGGTATAGACTCAGAACCGCCTCTCGGCTCCACGGGGCCATGGGGGACTGACAAGTACTAACCGTAACACTCTAAACAAAAGAGAAAACACAGAAGCCTAGAATCAGAATTGATGACAGCAGGGCCTTAGACACTGTGTGGGTCTTAATGTCAGATTTGGTGACTTCTAAGGATTTCATGGTGGCTAGGATCAGACTCCTCCTATCTCTTAACAGCCCCTCCTAGGGACGCTCATATGGTTCACCAGGGCTGAAGAAGTAGGCTGCCTGAGTCCTGGCTGTGCCATCCCATTACCAAGGCACTTAGTACAAAATACATAACCCCACTGAGTATCAACTTCCTCACTGTAAAACAGGGATATCGATGACATCATGAGAATACCTCCTATATAAGGTTATTTTAAGAAGTGCTTCTGAAAAGAACCTGTAACGGAACTCAACCAGAAGGTATGGCCGAGAATGGTTAAAGACAAGGATTCAGCCATATCTGCACCCGGGCAACACCATATGAGGAACATTACCTTGAAAGGCTTTCTTCGTTGTTTTAATTAGTTTTTATTTTTTACTTTATGTGTATTTGCTGAATGTTTGTCTGTACACCACTGTATACCTGCTGCCTTCAGAATCTGTGTCAGATCCCCTGACACTGAAGTTATAGGTGGTTGTGAGCCAACATGTAGGTGCTGAGAATTGAAATCGGGTTCTCTGAAGAGCAGCTGATGCTCTTAACCACAGAGCCATCCCTCTATCCCTTTGAAATTTTTTTTTTGTTTTTGCTTTTGTTAGGTTTGTTTTGTTTTTGTTTTTGTTTTGTTTTGTTTTTTGAGACAGGATCCCTCTGTAGAGCCCTGGCTGTCCTGGAACTCACTCTGGAGACCAAGCTGGCCTTGAACTGAGATCCGCCTGCCTCTGCCTCCTGAAAGCTGAGATTAAAGGTGTTCGACAGACAACTGACGACGTTCCCAAAAGAAAGTAATTTGCCCACCGGCCACAACCATCCAGACTCTAACCCTCTGGAATGAGGGGGTCTTATATGTGTACAGCACTTCCGGGTGTTCGGCAAACTTTCCCAGCCAGGGCCCAAGGCACACCCGGCTCATAACTATGCTGGAAGGAGGAATCCTCCCGAAATCCCTACGTGGAAGAAACGACCATTGTATGAGCTTAAATGTGTTTTGAGGAGTGAAGAGAGTATTTGGCTGGAAAAGAAAAAATGATCTGGACTTTGGGCCCAAGACAGGAGCAACAGCCTTCGACTCGCTAACTTCCAGCGCGAACCTGGGCAAGCCACCGTCTGTCTATTTCCCGGTAAGTGTAGAGCAGCTCCCCTCGGCCCTAAGGGTCTCCGGTGATGCAAGAGATGCAGAAAAACAACAGAGGGCTGGAAGGAGAGCGTCACGCAGGGGCTAGAACAAGATCTCTGAGTGACCGACTATAGGCCAGGCCGGGGTACAACTCCCGGAGGGCGGGGACGGGGACCCGGGGCCAGGCAGGCTTGATGAACCCCGGGTGGCCCCGGCCGGCCCGAGCGCAAGAGGGCGATCCCCGACCGCCCTGATTCGCTCCCTCACTCACCGCGGGCCACGCGCTACCTCTCCTCAGGACTCTCCACTCGCCCAGTACCTCTTTCGGGGTCACCCATCAACATGGCCCCTTTACTTCCGGGGCACGACCTCGTTCATCGGGCCGACAGAGACGAGGTAGTGATCACGGAGGCGGGCGGAGGCGGTAGGACTGCCGGTCTGCCCCTCCGCAGCCTCCCTCCGGAGGCGGAGCCGGGAACTTAGTCGGGCCCTGACCCTCTCGGGGCTCCACCCATAGAAGTAGCCCCGCCTCCTTGAGTGACGTCACCTAACCCCTGTGGGCCCCGCCTCCTAAAGCGTCGCTGTGCGGTCTGTGTAGGCCATGCGCTGGGTGGGTACGGGCTAAGGGAGGGAGCTGCGAGTCCTCGCCCTCCGCTAGCCTGGGAGGGACTCTGACCAGACGTGGATGTGGAGTTCGGGAGTTTAGGAATCTGCCCCCGCCCCAGCTTGACTGGTGAGATGACAGTTAAGTAGTTAACAAACTCAGACTGGACCAACATCAGGAGATGCCTTCATGAAACACCTACTGTGTTCCAGACACTGGACTGGATACCTCACACTGCATTTTGTCCAACCCAACCTTCCTGTTTGGTAGGCATCATTATTCCAGTTTTACAGATGGGAAAATCAAGGTCTAGAGAGGCTGGGTCGTTTGTACTGAGGGCTGAGCCATACAGAGGCTCGGGGCAATGTTGTATGTACAGGGCGGGTGATGAGGGGTGAGACATGAGCTGGACATCCTCCCGGGCCAAGGTTGCTGGGGGGGGGGAGCGATCTATAACTAACTACCTGGGTGTGCTTTAGCTCATTCTGGATCAGTCTTGGAGATGAACCCTGCTACCTGACAGCTAGGTGACATTGGCAAGGTCCTCAGTAGCTCCAGGCCTCAGTCTGTACACCTTTAGAGTTTGGTAGACATACCTGTAACCCACATACCCAGGAAGTGATGGCAGCAGGATCTGGACATTCAGGTCATACTTGGCTACATACTGAGTCCCAAACCAGCCTGAGCTACAAAAGACCCTGTCTCAAAATGATAGAACACCCACGTCATCAGAATTTGAAATTGACTCATGACAACTAAAGGAGAGATGAGCAGGACAATGGGACTATCTGCAAGGAGGATTACACCTGTGGCCGAGGGTTCCAGTGCCAGGTGAAGGTGCAGTGCTGACATGACCTTGCCAGACCATAGCCCCAATGTTGGCCCTGGTCCTAACAACAGTGAGAAATTCCTGCCATGGCCAGGCTTGTGTCTAGAAAAGACCAGCCTTGGCTGCTTTGTGAGGACTGGATAGGTGGGCTGAGCCCTGAAGGAGATCAGTCCCTAGGACTTGAGTGACAACAGCACACTTTACCTGGGATTGGCACTCAGATGCAGCAGTTTGTCTAGTCGTCAACACAGATCTGCAAGCAGAACTGGCATCATCCCCCAAAACATCCAGGAAATAGGACCTTTAAATTTTTTATGTAAGGCAATGTCTTGTTATATAGCCTTGTGTGTACGTGTGCATGTGGGGGTGGCAAGGGGGCTGTGTTCAGTTGCAAATGCACATGTGTGCAGAAAAGCCAGAGGTCAATGTCAGATGTCTTCCTAACTATTCTCTATTTTGGGACAGGGTTCCTCACTAAATCTGAAGATTAGCTATTCTGCTTGATGGGCTGCCAGCAAGCCCCCCCCCAGTCCTTCTTTCTGCCTCCCCAGCAAAGGGATTACAAAAGTGTTCCAGTGTGCTAGGCTCTTACATGGGTACTGGGGATCCAAAGGCAGGTCCTCCATGTGTCAAACACTTTACCAACTGAACCACCTCCCCAGCTCCAGCCTCAAACTCCAGCTCTTGCTGTCTCAGCCTCCCCAGTGCTGGAAGTACAATGCTGGCATTAAGGAGCTCTGAATAGTAGGAGTGAGATCCGAACTCAGATCTGGAGCTCTGAAAGATCCACAGAACAAATGAAGTCACTCAGGACAGGGAAGGACAAGGAGAGACTGAACTAACACTGAAGAGACAAACTGAGAAGGGACAATCAGAAGACTGACTATCAAAGGCTGGAGGAGGGAGGGGAGGCATAGTCACAAAGGGAGGCATGGTCTCCAAGGGAGATGTGGGTATGGTCACAAAGGCAAGTAAGTGTCCCTGGGCATTGGATATTGTCCTCCCCAATAGGACAATATCCTGTCTGTAGCTAGCTGATTCAGAGAGGAAAGGGGTGGAAGCCTGGGGGCTGCAGAATGAATAGGAAGTCCAGGGGGAATTGGAGATTGTGTTGGGAAGTAAAAGAACAGGATGAAAGGACAGATGGAGAAGGACAAGAGCCAAATGTGTATCCTGTGCCCAGCTGATTTTTGCTTGGGGTTAGTGACTCTTGTTCTAGCCTACTGCGGGGAAGGGCACAGGAGCCAGTTTTGGGAAGGAAGTTTGAATAAGCTAGAATGAGGGGAACTTCTGTGGCACATAGGGGACAGGGGAAGAGTGAAAGAACAACCAGGTTCTCTTCCTGGAAAAGCAACCCTGCTCCCATGGAGGACAGAAGTCTCTGGTTTAAATGTCACATTCCTTTACTGTGCCTAGTAGGTTGTCTTATGAAACTGAGCTCCTCGGGAAATGCCTGTTGACCTGAAATAGTGGGAAATTAGGAAATACGAATGACAAGACAGAACATTCAGTCCAGCCCGCTGCCCCACCCCTCTCAGGAGATGACCCAGGTGGATGGAGCAATGGAGGAAATGGCTATAACCAGAGTAGTGATGCTCTGGAGAGTGAGTCAACCTAGGACCCAGACATCACTATCACAGAGAGAGCCATCTGCTTGCTGTCATTAGAGGTCATCAACTCTGTAGTCACTAGATCCAGTACCCACCGATAGGAGAGAGAAATCTGCTGGCTATACTGTGCCCAGGCATGTTAGGACAAGCAGATAGAGGAACTGGTGTGGGCACAGCTGCAGGCTCTGGTCCCAAACCCCAGACCCCATACCCCCGTCCTACCTGTGCAACTCCTGTGAGATTCAGGGCCAAAGAGAGGATTGAAAGGCTGTATATTGCAGAGACCACACTGGTTGCTGCATGAATGACAGATGGCTTTCTTATTCCTTCTCCATCCCCTCTGTCCCCACTGTAGTCCTGAGAGGACCAGGTACCAGAGCATATCTTTTTTAGACGAGGCCTTACTGTGTTGCCTCCTCAGAGGGCAAATTGGACACCTGTCTTAGTTAGGATTTCTTTTTTTTTTTTTTTTCTCAAGACAGGGTTTCTCTGTGGCTTTGGAGGCTGTCC